ACTACATGTAAAGTCCTATTCGTTATAAATAGAAAATCGGTTATAAGGCGAGACGTAGGTAAACTACGGTAGTTTAATAAATACTGTTGAGGTGGTCCATTTAGAAAACCGACTCATCGATAAAGATTAGTAAAAATTCGTAATCCTTTTATCAAATTGAGCTCTATATGAAAAGGATTACGAATATTAGTTGGTATCATTTGGGAGCATAGACAAAGTAAAGAAAAAGCTATATCTATTTCTTTCTTTTTTTTTAAATAAAGACAATATATTGTATACGGATTATATTCGTTGTCTACTTTAAAAATTTGCTAAGTTTGATGGTGTGACATCTTTTTGTTGTTATTTAATCTTTTATCCACGACAAAGAAAAAAATCAATAATAATAATTGAGAATGGGGTCTTTGTGTCGTCCGAAAAGAACAACAAAGAGAGTCTATTGGTTGTTTCTAAAAACTTATCATAGTAATATTTCATTTAGTTATCCTGATTAAGGAAACAATGATAATGCATAATAATTTGCAGCTAAACCCACTTTACTTGTCCACGGTAAATCAGGTCATGTACTTACTCCACGATTATGCATGTAATGTAAACATGCATTGCATGAACATACGTGATTCCTATTACGAGAAAAATTTGTAATAATCAATATAATGTATATGTTGTTTAAACTAAATAATAATATGAACCTAAAGTTCTTGTTTTTTTGGGGGATATTTGTAACATAAAGTTCTTAACTAAAGAACAAGTACAACAACTAATATTCTCTTTTTCTTTTTCAAAAAAAAAAAGTTCTCTTTATTTGTTCGACAAGCAATTTGAGGCCACAAAAAATAGCACACCCACGAAAATCGATCAAATAGAAAACGTTTTCTTTATAAAATAAAATGGCAAACTTTTAGACCTTAGTTAATTAGAGAAATAACTCACATGTTAAAGGTTTCACTTTCGATAAAAAAAAAAAGGTTTTGAGACTTTGAGTAATTACTAGCATATACAGATTTTTGTTACACAATTATCCTTGATTTATGTTCCGTTGTTAACAATGGGACTGTTCATAACAAGATGTTTAAAGATTTGCCACGGTATTACAACATCGATAGCATTTTAAGATACTTATCGTGTCTACATATTTTCATAATAGCTGCTGATATTTTCTTATTAGGGTTTTAATTATTTTGACGGATATAAATAAACTCATTAGTACAATGTTTTAACTATCCGTCAAAATAACTAATTAAATCTCTAATAAGAACATCTGAACATGTATACAAGTATACAACGAGTTTATATATGTAGGTTTTTCAAAAGAAATCTAAGTCTTCAGACATAATTAAATTGTAGTCAAAATTAGTGAAACCTAATAAGTTAGGTGAAAATCTTAATCTCTAATAGATGCTTTTCAGGAATTCGGAATTATGAAGAATAGAAAAGTTCAACACATGCATCTTGTTGGCAATGATGGCCCAAATCTACCGCAATCGAATGAATTGCTCGAAACAAAATAATTATATGTATAGGCAAAACGATTATTCAAAGAAAGAAAAATAGCTTAGCTAGGTGCGGCAAAAGCGGAGAGACCTCAAGGACCTATCTATAAGTATAACCATGCAAATGAAACGAATGTATTATCTCACATAATGTTTTTTATATTAAGATTAAATCGAGACGATTAATTTGAAGTATGGAAAGAGATAAATATGTGAAAATTAGAACACTACTAGATCTAAATATGACTGAAGTCAAATCAAGTTGACGAACACATTTCTGATTATAAGTATAGTTTTTAGTTCACGGACCATATATGGCAAATGTTTCAGAATTCAGACGAAAGTTACTGAAACAAAAATTAATGTTGAAAAATGATTCTCTAAACTGTGTTGATTTAGTGACATCCTTTATGCTGGTCGTGACAGATACTTATTTCAATAGGGAAAACAAAAACTTTTAAGTCACCAAAAACAATGTTTGCTTCAAATTTGATTGTGAAATTGGTGCTATAAGTTATTTATATGGAGTTGGTGAATACAACTTGTTTAATTATTAAGGACCTTTTTTTTTTTTTTAACTTTAAGGACGTAATTATTATAAAGAAAATATCGCATTTAGAGAAGAGTGGGAGCTTAGGTGAACTTACAGCAAAGCAAAATTCAAAAGTAGGAATGATTTTAATGTAGAAAATAGAAGAATTGAGCTTTTGGCTTTTGTGACTCATATAGTCTCACAGATCATTCATGACAAAAAGAAAACATCATGTGACCC